GGGCCTCGCGCACACCCCCTCCGAGGCAGCGGAGGAAGGAGGTGCGCAGGCCAGGGGGCGCGGCGCGAGCAGCAACAGCAGCAGCAGCAGCAGCCAGCAGCCTCCCAAGTGCTCGGCAGCTCTGACCGCCTCGCGTTTGCCCCCACCCCACCCCCCCCTTTGCGCGAGGGATACAGGGCTCGTTCACAGCAGGAGCTCGACCACAAGAGATCTCCCACGAGAAACCCAGCCCCGAGACCCCAGGGCGTCCCTCGAAGTCTGGTGTGGGCGAACGCCACGCTTTCCACAGCAAAGCCATCGAGACCCAGGAAGCCCAGGGCACCCTGGAGTGAGGTCGGGCATGTCCCCCCTGCAGGCGGATTTTGGGAGAACATTGGAAGAATATCAGAAAAATGCTCAAAACTAGCCCAACATACTCCAACCATCGTCCCCATACCATTTTTGTTACCTACTTGTTTTTTTTTACCATGTTTGAGAATTCCTCCTGTCGAGGGGCACGCCCGACGTAGCCTTGGAGGCAAGCAGGCTGCTTCTTGGCATGGGTCTTTCCACCGTGCACCGGGCACCCCCGATCGGCCGCCCTTCCGGGCGGCGGGCGCACAGAGCCCCCGTCGGCCCTGCGGCTCCCAGCCCCGTTGGGAAAACCGCGGGCCCATATCGGGAGCCCAGGCAGCGATCGCGGGGCAGCCGCGGGCAGGCGCCAGCCGGTGCCTTACTCGGGGTGCCTCGTGCACATCTCCGAGGCGTCCCCGCCCTGTGGCCCAGGGGCGGCCGCATGGGGGGCGGCCGGCGCAAATCAGGGCGGGCGGCACGTGCGCGGCCCACGGGGGGGAGCAGACGACGCCTTGAAATAAGAAGAGGCGCCACGAAATCTGGGGACTATCATGGCCCCCGCCATGAGATCCCCCCCCCCCGTAATCATCACCCCCCTCTTGGCCGCCTTCGACTTTGGGGGAAGGTGCGGGAGAGCACCAGCCGGCCACATTCACAGCCGGATGGGCAGCGTGGCCCCCGCAGGCCGGGCAGAAGCGCCGCTGCCCGGGGCGGGGGCGGGCAGGCCTCACGCTCTGCAGCCGGTCTGCTCCTTGCGCCTACGACGACGCGACGACCCCTTTTCCGACGGCGGGTCCCGCCCCCGCCGCTCCGTCCTCGGGCGGGGGGGGGAGGATGAGGAGAAGGACGACGAGCGGGGGGGAGAGGGACAATGCAGCAGGGAGGGGGGAAAACGAGAGGGTGCGGCAGGCAATGGCGCCCGCTATGATCGCAGGCTGCCTGCTGACTCGCATGAGGGTTGGTCGTGCCATCCAAGATTATACAACCTGCGCATCTTCACACATCGGTCGTCCAGGCAACGAAACTAATGTTCGACGTCGCTGTCAGAATGCACATATGTACATGTCTATCTCTATGTGTGTTAGCCAATGTGGATCCCACACCGTGGCTTACAGCATACTACGTGGTGCAAGATATGCGGCGCAACATAATTGTTGTATTTGTGTTGGAGGTCGGAGAGGGGAGTGGTATATTGATGTGTGGTGCAAATCTGAAACTGACGATGCAGCCAACGACAACCACAAGCGTTTTGCACGACGATTTCAACAACATTTGTTTTGCGTCGGCCGTTTCGACCGAACCCAGAATATATCAGTCCAATTCAACAAGCGACCGTCATCCAATTTGAACGGCAAAAAAATGCCTATTGCATGACGCCCTGTCGCCAACACGCACGATTCTGTAGATTCCCGAATCTTCAGAATTCATGCGTCCGGAATGCCTGGAACGTCGTTTCGGATTTTCCAGCATGCTATTTCAAAGTACTGGAATGTCCCGAACTCCGTGTTTGGCGATACGGAAATTCCAGAATCATGTTTTTCGTGATTTGGAATTTCCGACATTGCGTGCTTGATCGGGCGTCCTGAAACAGGTGTCTACATTGTGTTCATGTAGATCTGCGGTCGTTCGGGGAATTTGGAATCAGGAATCTTGACGTTGTTTGAGGTGGTCGGCGCAAAGCGAATGCTCTTGGAATGGGAATGCAACGCACTTGCTGTTATCGTGGGTAACATATCTTTTTCAACATTGGCAGCATACCCCTTTACATCATGCTCATCTGCAACGTCCAGATACTTGTCGTACAACTGGCGTGGCGCAATCTGAGTGGTACAACTAACCTGTGGAACTCTCAATTGTCAAGTCCACCGCTCGCGCAATAGTCCCACCACCCACCCGCAACTTGGTTTGCAAAACCCGGGCGGCGGCGATTGCGATGAGTGTTGGATGTTGGCTGGTGCATATCGGCGGCCGCGGTGGCCCGCGCATGCTCGCGCGCACAGCGGCCAGCCAGTTTGGCGCGACTGGCGCGGCCGCGGTGGCGCTGACCACTGGTCACTTCTCAGCGGGCACTTCACTGCGAATCAGTAGGCGCGTCCCACTATATACTTTCCAGCGGGCGCGGTACCATGGCGACGCCGACAACGTTAGACACGATGGTGATAGTAGCGATGATGTCGACGATGGTGGCGATGACGACGGCAAGGTCAATGACGGCTCCGATGCTGATCGCGCCCGCCGATGACGATGGCGATGTCCTCGCGTCGGCGATGGGTGTTTTGGAAGGATTTCGACATGCATGGGCAGAATCGAGGACAACAGGAGATGTTGTTTCATCTAGCGTACCACGATTATTAAGCACGTCGGGCACTTCGGGCAGATCTTTCTGGCATCCAGGGAACAGTTGCGGATTGCGTTCGGTGCTTGGGGCAGTTTTTGAAGTCTCGGGACACTGCTCATCATGAAGTTACCAGGTTGTGGAATTGCACAGAAGGTTGTTTTGCCGTCTGGTTCCGTTCGTGCTCCGACAGAGTGATTGCGCCCGTTTGGGCAGGTGTCTCTCTTCTTTGCGTCGCGTGGTGATGCGCGGCAAGGCTGCGGGCGAGCGCGATGATGGCACCGTTCGTTCTCTCACGAATTCGCACGCAGATGGGGCGGGGAAGCAGGCGCGAGCGCTTCGGTCGAGGGAGCAGGGGCAGCCATGATCGACACTTTGGTGCGATTGATGGGTGCGTCGATTCTGCTCGATCTCAAGTAGGGCCAGGAAGGCGATGTCAGAACGTCCGCCAAGAGCACGTTCGCCCCTCCAGCGTTTGCAACAGAAATGATCCCAGGCTTGTTTCTAGCAGCTTCCAGGAAGCTGGCCCAGATCTCGTAAGTGAAAAGTGGATTGATCATACTTTCGGTTGTAGGCGCGAGTCGAGCCGTGGCCAACGAGGAGCCGGAGCCTCCCAGAGGCCCAAGAATTGGGCGTTGCGTAATGGGGGGGCCATAAATGGGGGGGTGGCGAGGGTGGTCCGAAAAGGTACCCAAACGGTGCCTAAACGAGCCCCCTGGGGCTCCAGAGGGGCCCGAAAGGGGCACGAAAGGGGACCGTTTCTGACCCCCCCATTTATGACCCCCCCATTAAGCAACGCCCAAAAGAAGAGAGGAAAGCGCCAAGAACAACTCGATCCTGGATCTCCCCCCGATCGTTGTCGTCGCCGTCGTTCTCGTCGTTGCCGTCGTTCTCGTCGTCGTCGTCGGCTGCGGCGGCGTTGCCGTCGTTGCCGCGGCGCCCAGGACGCGCCGGCGGGCGAGGGCGGCGCCAGCACGCTGGCGCTGCTGCAGGAGGTCCTCGCCGACCAGGGCGCGGCGCTGGACCCAGAGCAGCAGGCGCTCTTTGGGAGCGGCGGCGCCTCGTGCCCCCGGTGTTTCTTTCTCCAGTCTTCCTCTCCCGGTGCCCAAGCTGGGCTCAAACACACGCCGAGGAGATCTCGAAAGCAACCAGGATGGCCTCAAGACTGTCCAAGTGGCTTCCAAGGTGCCCCAAGAGGGCTCCAAGAGGACCCCCAAGAAGACCCCAAGAGGGGGAAAGTCACCCCCGCGCCAGGGCTCGGGCTTTCGTGCGCGCACCGCTGGCTCGGCAGCCCCGTTGCTTCCAGTCGTCACCGGCCTGGCAGGAGCACAGCTCGGCAGCTCCTGTGCGCTCTCCGAAGGTGCATGTCCTCCAGCTGCGCCTATGATCAGGAGGGGAAACAACACACAGACACAATTAGTCGTCGATTCCCCAGAGAATATGGGAACATATGGGAAGTGGGGGGCAAGACAGAAACCCAGAAAATATAAGGAAATATGGGGAATCGTTTTATTTCCCCATATCCTAAGATGGGGTTCTTGTTATTACTTGGACGCCCCCTACTCCTTCTTCTTCTCCTCCTCCCCTCTTCTCGTCTCCTCCTACTTAGACTCACTCATACTCAGATTCACTCATACACAGACTTACTCATACACAGACTTACTCATACACAGACTCACTCATACTCAGACCTGATCACATTAACTTACTCATACTCAGACCTACTCATACCCAGACCTACTCATACTCAGACTTACTCATACTCAGACTTCCTCCTTCTCCTCCTCCTTTTACTCAGAGTTCCTCATACACAGACTTACTCATACTCAGAATTACTCATACTCAGACCTTCTCATTGTCTGACTTATTCGATAAACAGCAGATTGCGAGGATGTCTCAGGCGGGGCGCTGGTTTCAGCACCCCTAAGGGGAGCCGCCGAGGGGTGTTGCACGGTCCCGTTCGCGGCCGTTTTGTGGGGATGTCTCAGGCGGTTTGCCTGTTTGTCTTGCCAACATCCTTCGCTTTCGGAGCAGATTTGGAGGATGTCTCGAGCGAGGCGCTCATTTTCACCCCCCAGGTGGGCCAGATTTTGAGGATGTCTCGATCGGTTTGCTTGTTTTGGTGGCCAGGCTCGTGGCCCTAAGGGGAGCCGCCGAGGGGTGTTGCACGGTCCCGTTCGCGGCCGTTTTGTGGGGATGTCTCAGGCGGTTTGCCTGTTTGTCTTGCCAACATCCTTCGCTTTCGGAGCAGATTTGGAGGATGTCTCGAGCGAGGCGCTCATTTTCACCCCCCAGGTGGGCCAGATTTTGAGGATGTCTCGATCGGTTTGCTTGTTTTGGTGGCCAGGCTCGTGGCCCTAAGGGGAGCCGCCGAGGGGTGTTGCACGGTCCCGTTCGCGGCCGTTTTGTGGGGATGTCTCAGGCGGTTTGCCTGTTTGTCTTGCCAACATCCTTCGCTTTCGGAGCAGATTTGGAGGATGTCTCGAGCGAGGCGCTCATTTTCACCCCCCAGGTGGGCCAGATTTTGAGGATGTCTCGATCGGTTTGCTTGTTTTGGTGGCCAGGCTCGTGGCCCTAAGGGGAGCCGCCAGGGGTGGTTGCACGGGCTCGTTCGCGGCCATTTTGTGGGGATGTCTCAGGCGGTTTGCTTGTTTCTGTGCCCAACATCCTTCGCTTTCGGAGCAGATTTGGAGGATGTCTCGAGCGAGGCGCTCATTTTCACCCCCCAGGTGGGCCAGACTTTGAGGATGTCTCGATCGGTTTGCTTGTTTTGGTGGCCAGGCTCGTGGCCCTAAGGGGAGCCGCCAGGGGTGGTTGCACGGGCTCGTTCGCGGCCATTTTGTGGGGATGTCTCAGGCGGTTTGCTTGTTTCTGGGCCCAAAATCCTTCGCTTTCGGAGCAGATTTGGAGGATGTCTCGAGCGAGGCGCTAATTTTCACCCCCCAGGTGGGCCAGACTCCAGGAGGCCCCAGGAGACCACATGAGGTACCAGGAGGCATCAGGAGGCCACAGAAAGACTCAAGAGGCCACAGGATGTCCCAAGAGGCTCCAGGAGGCCCCAGGAAGCTCCAGAAGGCCTCAGGAAACCACAGGAGGCCCCAGGAGGCAACAGGAAGCGCCAGGAGGCCTCGGAAGGCAACAGGAGGCCCCGAGAGGCCCCAGGAGCAGGAGGCCTCAGAAGGCAACAGGAGTGGCTCCAATCCCATGTGTTTTACGTATGCTCCTATCGATTGGGCCTCACCTGGAGCACGATTCTTTGATGTTCTACGTATGTTTCTATAGATGGTCCTTCTCCTGTGTACACAATCCTAAATGTTTTACTCATGTTCCTATATATTGGGCCTCTCCTGGGGCACGAGTCCTTGGTGTTTTACGCGTGATTGCCCTTCTCCTGTGGCTCTAATCCGCAATGTTTTATGTACGTCTGTTGCTATAGATTGCGCCTCTCCTGGGGCACGAAACCTTCCTAGGAGGTCCCAGGAGGTCCCAAGAGGCTCCTGGAGACCCCAGGAAGCCCCAGTAGGTTTCAGGAGGCCCCAGGAGGCCCCAGGCTCATGCACAGAGACGCGCTCGTACTACTGAGGCTCATTCACACTCCAATTCATTCGCAGTTAGATTGATGTCCAGACCGTCACAACTGAAGCCCGTTAATATTCGAAAGCTCTTGCGCCTAGACATTCACGGCGGACAGGTCCATGCGAGTAGATGCACATATGGGGAGCTCCACGCAGTGAATAATTGTGTGTATTTATTTGTGTGTCCCAGGGCCCCTTCAACGTCCTCTAGCTGCGCCTGTGAGCAAGGGAGGCTCCACTCCAGAGCGTTCAAGAAGCACCCGCCCCACGGCTCTCTGCCCGACGTCCCGCTCGAGCCCCCGCACTCGCGGCCACGTGCTGCACGCGCTGTTGCAGTGCGAGCCGCCGAGCGGGGCGGCCACGTGCTCGGCCACGCAGGCAGGACCGCCGCGTCGGCGTTTTTGGTGTTTTTGTTATTGTTGTTGTTGTTGTTGTTGTTGAATATTATTACTTCTAAAGAATAATTATTGTTGGGCCCCCTGGTGCACGCCCCCCTCGCCGCGCCTAGGCCGCAGCCACATTTTCATCATTTTCGCGAGGAAGTCTCAGGCAAAACGGGGGAGTCCGGATCCGGTTGTTTTGTTGACGCCCGCTTTCCCTGTCAAAAATAATATAAAATGACATGTCTTGTTCTAACATAACCAAACTTCAAGAATCCTTTGCAAAAAATGACACGAAGTGCACACTCGCGCGCGCAAGATGAAATCCTTCCAAAACCTTAGATTTCGTAGCGATTTTAACATAAAAACAAGAAAAAAAACCAATGGTTTTTCAAAAATCAAGTTTCAAAAATTCATCCCGCGCGCTCTTGCGGATTTTTGAGGAAACCCAATACTTTTTCAACATTTCTGTCAAACGGGCTCTTGCGAGCAACTTTTTCACGTGCTTCGAACTTCTGCAACAACGGTTGCGCGCATGCCAGGGCCATCATCCCTGTCAAATAATACCATGCGGGACACATTCGTTTTTTCTTCGCGCGCGCACGCCGTCGTCGTCGGCCGCGGGGCCCTGAATAGTAGCCACGGTCGTCCGCATGCCACGAAGTGAAGTGTCCGAACGTCATAGGGCGGGAAGCTGGGTGTGGGTGGTGGCGAAGAGTCGTTTGGAAATTTGGTAGAGCTTGAACCGGCCCCCCCACAAAGTGGGGGTATTGCCCGCCTCCTATGAAAACCCTGGCACTGGTGAGAACGGAGTGTCCCCACATGCTAGTAATTGTTGTTGTTGTTGTTGTTGCTGTTGCTGTTGCTGTTGCTGTTGCTGTTGCTGTTGCTGTTGTTGTTGTTGTTGAGTTCTCACCACTGAAGAATACGTAATTATTGTTGATCCCCCCACTCCCGTACACGTTGCATTTTTCAATTGAAGTGTTCCTCCCAGCGCTCGCACCCCATCTCATCAGGGAAAGTGAAGGTATCCCTCCTCAAACTGTGTCCCTGGCCCCCGGTTTACAACAACAACGGCTCCCGCTTGATTTTTCCTCGAAATTTACTCCAGTCCCCGGCTCCCGTTTGAGACTTCCTCGCAATTCGCTCAAGAATCGCGCTCCCGCCTTAGACTTCTCTCGCAATTTACTCAGGCGCCGCGCTCTATTCAGGAATCACGCGTTCGCTAGGGACTCCTTCAAATTTACTCAGGAGTCGCTCTCTCGCTGGAAACTTCTTGGCTGATCACGCAGAACTCACGATCGATCCGCCCGCTCGGCCCGCCCGTCAGGGTCATGCCATGTGTGCCCCATGCTCGCTCGCGCCCTTTGTGCCTCATTGCTGCCCTTCGTGGCCTCTCCCCTTGTGGCCCTGTCGCTGCCCTTCGTGGCCCCGATGCTGCCCTTAGTGGCCCCTCGCTGCCTTTTGTGGCCCATATGCGCCCTTCGTGGCCCCCAGTCGCTCATGCCCTCAGCGGCCCCATTGCTGCCCTTCGTGGCCCCGCTGCTGCCCTCAGTGGCCCCCTCGCTGCCGCTTGTAGCCCATATGTACGCCTTCGTGGCCCCCAGTCGCTCGTGCCCTCAGTAGCCCCATTGCTGCCCTTCGTGGCCCCAGTACAGCCCCGTGTGCCTCCCCCCCGCCGCCCTCAGTGGCCCCATCGCTGCCCTTTGTGGCCTATAGATTCGCCCTTCGTGGCCCCCAGTCGCTCGTGCCCTCAGTGGCCCCGATGCTGCCCTCCGTTGCCCTAGCGTATGCCCTTCGGGGCCCATATATATATATATATATATATATATATATATATGTGTGCATGCCCGTCGTGGCCCCCAGTCGCTTGTGCCCTCAGTGGCCCCATTGCTGCCCTTCGTGACCCCGCTGCTGCCTTCAGTGGCCCCCTCGCTGCCCTGTGTGGTCCATATATATATATATATATGTACATATTTATATATATATACATGTATGTATATATCTATATCTTTGTACACATACATATATATATATATGTATATATATATATACATATATACACATACGCACGCCCTTCGTGGCCCCCAATCGCTATTGTCCTCATTGGTCCCATTGCTGCCTTTCGTGGCCCTAGTGTAGCTCCGTGTGCCCCCCCCCCCCCCGCAGCCCAATGTGGCCCCATCGCTGCCCTTTGTGGCCCAAATGTTCTCCCTTCGTGGCCCCCAGTCGCTCGTGCCCTCAGTGGCCCCATTGCTGCCTTTCGTGGCCCCAGTGTAGCCCCGTGTGCCCCCCCCCGCTGCCCAATGTGGCCCCCTTTTTGCCCTTTGTGGCCCATATGTTCTCCCTTCGTGGCCCCCAGTCGCTCGTGCCCTCAGTGGCCCCATTGCTGCCCTTCGTGGCCCCGCTGCTGCCCTTCAGTGGCCCATTGCTGTTTCTCTCGTCCGCAGTTTTGCTCCCTCCCTCTTGTCCCTTACCTCCCTCCCTTCCCCCACTCCTTTCCTCCTCGCTTTCTCTCTCTCTCTCTCGCTCTTTCTCTCTCTCTCTCTTTCTCCCTCTCTTTCTGTCGCTCTCTCTCTCTCTCTCTCTTTTTCTCTCTCTCTCTCTCTCTCTCTCTCCTTTCTCACTCCTCTTGCTCTTTTAAGGGCTGCGCCCAATACACGTGGCAGGTCAGGAAGATGTACTCCCCAGAGGGGGTACGATCGAAGACGAAGAGGGCGGGTATCGGGGGCTTGGGACATACGTGGTGAGGTACGCGCGAGCAGATCAGAGCGAACAGTCTCAAAATGATTGTTATTATTGATTATTGTTTTTGTTTTTGTTGTTGTTGTTGTTGCTGCTGCTGCTGTTGTTGTTGTTCTTGTTGTTGTTGTTTTTGTTGTTGTTGTTGTTGCTGTTGTTGTTGTTATTGTTGTTGGTGTTGTTGGTGTTGTTGTTGTTGTTGTTGTTGTTGTTGTTGTTGTTGTTGTTGTTGTTCTCTCTCTCTCTCTCTCTTTCTCACTCTTTCTCTCTCTCTCTCTCTCTCCCCCTCACACGATTTAACCCTCACACGCCCAGCGCCAGACAGGCCCAATCTGCTTCCCCTCTGCTTCCCCCACGTGACTCCCACCCCCCCACGCTGGCTGCGTAAGCCCCCCCCCCCCCCACGCTGGCTGCGTAAGCCGGGGTGCCCTTTTGTTCACTCCCGTGCCCGCGCCGCTGGCCGGTCATGTCGTCGCCCCGCCTCTGGAGAGGCGCGCTGGCGGCGCTACCCGCACAGCATCGTGGCCGCCAGCCTGTCGCACCAGGGCGCGGTCAGGCACGGCCACGTCCTGAGGATGCTTCACTGGGGGGGTCGTCAAACGACGCGAAGATCGGGACAAAATCGGATCGGGATAACTCGGAATCTCTGAGAATCGGCGGGTTTGGAGGATGTATTGGGCGCCGCGGCCGCTCCAGAGCGTTCCGGAACGCTCTGAGAGCGCTCCGGAACGCTCTGGAGCGATTTATCCCGATCCTAGCCCTGTTTTAGGTCGGACGGGGCTACATAAGACGATGATGAATCCTTTCCAGAGCGTTCTGGAACGCTCCCAGAGCGTTCCGGAGCGCTCTGCGAAGGCCGCGGCGCCCCTGACACATCGTCCAGAGCCGCCGGACCTCATAGATTCTCGCTTCATCTTCACCCGGATTTCTCCTCGTCCTGGCCTCGTCTTAGGAGGGGGGTGCGAGCTCGGTTGTTGGCACGATTGTGATGGACACGGGAAGAGCGGGGTCGAAAACCCACAACAGGTGTCGTCCGCTTTGAACCGGGTTCGGTGGCAGTCGCCGCTGATGTTGTCGATGTGAGATAATAGGTCACCTTCACAACAGCGGCGCTGCCAGTTTTGGACAGCGCTTTCTGTGGGCCATTGTGTCCACTGTTTCCATACCCACCTCGGGCGCGCCAAGGTTTGATGTATTCCTTCAGGCGAACTTGATTGGGGCAGCTCTTCTCGGGCCAGGCAGGTCATCCCTCCCTCCCTGGTGCACTCCCTTTCCGCGGCCCCACCTTCTGCTCCCCTTCCTGCCTCTCGTCTTTCGTCCTATTCCCCCCGCCTGCTCCTCGTCCTCGTCGTTTACGTACTAGTCACCTTCGCTTTTCCCCAGCACGCGTTCTTGTCCTTCCTCGGCAGGCCTCTTGTGCATGACAGAGCTCCTTGTCTGCCGGCCCCCACTAACGCTTGGACTGGATCGCTTGTTTTCGCGGCCGTCATTTTTGCAGGTCCAGGTCCGTCGGTTTCGGTCTTAGGACGTTTTCACTAAAGGGAGGTTAATTGAAGGAAGGGTTGTCCACCGCCGAACTCCTGCTAAGGGGCCACTCTTGCAGATGACACCGTCGTTTGCGAAAGACACGTCCATCCCAGGTATCGGTGACAAGATGGCAAAGCTCGCCCCCTCTTCCCCCTGCATGTCAAGATTGACGAGGATGCCGTGCCCCCACGCAGAAGTGGGCGCTTATTTCGCATCACGTCGCGCTCCCCTTGGGCGCGTTCGTTGGCCAACGTTGAGATACGGGGCGCGGGGGCGGGGCGCGGGGGCGGGGCGCTATGGCCTTCTACAAGTGGGCGTTTGTTTCGCAAACGGCGGTGGTCCTGTCGAGTCGTCCCCGATGTCCCTGAGCAGGCGCCTCGACAGAAACGCAGCCTGTCAGAAAGCGTGGGCACGCCGCCTCGCACCAGCGTGGAGCTTCTCTGGCGGTGGCCCCGGAACGGTGCCCCCCCGCATCCCCGATGGGGACGAGGTGCTCCTGCGCCTGCGCCAGCCGCGCCCACGAATGCGCATGGTGATGCCGCACCAGCGCTGGCCACGCCCCTTCTGTGAATAGAACCCGTGTAATACACTCATATATACTCCTTATCCTCACCTCTCCTGCGCCTGGCCGTTTGGGCTCAGGTATTGGGACGGATCGATCATACCTTTGATCGTGCAGGAGGGAAAGACATCCATCTATCCCTCCTTCCCTCTACCAACGGATCAGGGGTTCTGTACCCTTGTACTTCAACCCCATACACAGGTTATCAGCCCTTTAAAGCTCACTGTTCATCGAACCCCGCGTCGCGACCTCGCACGCGGCCTCGATGGAACCCAAGCGGCGCATGCGCCGTAAGGGGTCCATCGGGGCCTCGCGTCCGAGCTCTCCGACGGCGCGACGGCTCGGTGATGAGTTGGAGAGCCTTAGTGCGGACTGTGTCGGTGTCCCAGGTACCCCCCCCAGCTCCGACGGACCCGAGGCGCGGTTAGCTGCTGAACTTCACCGCAGCGCCGCCCGCGGGGGGACAGGAGAAGGAGTAGGAACAGGAAGGAAGGAGTTTCACACGCCTACCTTCGATCCTCCATCTCCTCTTCAGCCGGGAGCAATCCCAACTGCGTCAGGCGAAAGTCTCACTGGTCCTGATACTCCAGGGCGCTTTCGCGCTAACCGCCGATGGACCTCAGGTGCTGGTACCCCCAGCCCTGCGACCGTTCCTGTTGCGGAGCACGTAGCCACCTTCGAGGAACTCAGTAGACCAGTGGCGGCACAGCCGCAGACGCAGTATCCCAAGGTATCATCGGATGAGACACCACACACACATGGTCCAAGTCGCAGCTCGTCCGCGCGCAACCGTCGTGGGGCCCCAGGCCCATACGGCGAGAGTAGGTCGAGCCCGCGCACTGCCTCTCAGAGGCCATGCACTCCCCGTGAGAGGGGGCCGAGGGAAGCTGACGCTCCCCACCTCTCCATCTCAGACGACCAGCTGGCGGAAACGTCCGCCGCAGGTGAAATCGCTGAGCTCAGAGACCAGGTTGAAATCTTCGTGTCCAGACAATACTCTGGACTACTGCAGAGCGTTCAGACAAACGCTGCCAGCACTGCAGCCATACGCCACGATCTCGACGGCGCCCTAGGGATCATCGATTCCAGGATTGCCGAAGATCGACGCATCATAGGTGAACTGCAGTACCAGGTTGATCGTGCAGTGTCACACTCAGGTGAACGAACGGCGATGGTCGAGAACCTGCGCAACTACCTAGCGCAGATGGAGCAACAGCTTGTGCTCGTACGCGACACAGGCGTTTCAGCAGTCAGGATCCTCCACGATGAGATCCACGACCAGCTCCGCAACCGACCACCACCAGCCGAGGCCACCGACCTTGGCGACGTTCAGTCTCAGATCAATGATCTTCGATCCCACATAGACCACGCTACGGCGACGCTTCGCAACGAAGCGCACACCAACTCGTCGAACCTGATCGACATGTTGCAACGTTCTGAGAGAGTCATCACTCAAAGGCTTGATGCGACCAACGCTGTCGTGCAGCCACTCGCTAACCAGATCTCTGACATCGAGCAGCGTTTTCCTGGCGTACAGGACGCCCTGGCAGAGTTGCGTGTCGGACGAGTCCAGACTGATCAGCTGGATTCTCCCCCCACGGTTTACTATTTCGCCCGCCTCGCTGGCGGGTTGCAGGAGGTTGAGAAGGCGGCGGGCCACACGCAGTTGGAGCTCTCCCAGGTTATTCGTGAGAGAGATACTGGGAAAGTACGTGTTGAGGGGCGCCTCGCACGTCTGGAAAGCGAGCTGGAGGCACAAAGCGCCCGTCTCCGAGCATACGAGCAACGACTTGATCGGTACTCACAACGTTTTCGGGATACTGATGAGTACACACGCAAAAAGGTGGCCCAAATACACGAAGACATGACGAGCTGGACGAATCAGCTGATCGACCACACCAACGACACCAGTCCCCACCTTCGACCTGCAACCGGCCTGCACAGGCCGACGGCAGCGTCCGCTGAAGCACCGCAAGCTTCTGCAGGACAACAACGACGCACGTCACTAGGAGCAGCCTCTGCGGCAGCTTCTGCACAGACACGCCATGTGTCTCCCGCGCGCACAGAACCGACTACTGACGGTGTACCGATACCCTCACAACCACTGTCTGCGGTTTCGGTCCATACTACAACTCCTATCAAGGAGTCAGACACCGTCCGAGCCCCTGTCTTGCCTAAGATCACGCAGCTGCTCGAGTGGCAGCAAAAGGTACGGAAGAACTTTGTGGCCGCCTCAGGGCGACCATCCAAAGCATATGCCTTCCTATGCGTGGCTGAACAGCCCGAATGTACCTTCGAGGACTTACAAGACAGTGGAGACTTTGAGAGCATCGATTGCAAACTCGCTACCGCTCTGAGCGACATCTTATCCTCAGACTTGTGCGACCAAATCAGGCCCATCGAAACCAGAGAGCACAATGCAGGACGCATGCTCAAAGGACGCCAGATCTACTGGCACATCCTACAGTCCTACAAAGTGACAGAGGTTAATGACGACCTGCACGACTTCGAGCGCCTTAAAGAACTGAGGATGAGAGATGAAGATTTGCAACGTTTTATTACTGACTGGGACGCTTTACTCTTGGGGTGCCGAGAAGCACCCGATCCAAAGATCTTGGAATCTCTGTTTCGTGCACAGATTCGGAGACATGCCTGGATGAAACAAGACATGTACGAGTACCAGCGCATGAAGATCAGCGACCCGAATCGTACATATGATTGGCTCCGACAGCGCGTCCTGGACGTACTGGAGCTCAAACAATCGGAGAAGAATCAGAAAATGTTGCGGTACGAACATGAGACACGTTCTCAAGTCAATGCGTGCGCTGTCTGGGAGAAAGGCAATTGTCGCAATGGTGAACGGTGCAAGGCTTTGCATACATATTCCAGGGATTGGAAGAACAACAAATCTTCCAGAGCATCGACAGCTGGTGGCAACTCCCGCCGCAGCGCGTCAACTCCTGCGAATCACAAGACGCCAGCATCGAAATCATTTTGCTTCGAGTTCGCCAAGCGCAACACATGTACCAGAGGCGACAAGTGCAACTTTCCACACGTCGCACAGTGTAAAGATTTGGCACAGAATAAGTGCCCCAAGGGCGACAAATGCAAACACGCTCATCTTACACCTGGCGCGAGGACCCCCGAGCGAAGCCCGAGTCGACCACGGACTTCCAGTCAGGATAGCCGCGGCCGATGACCATCCCGCGGATCAGGATGCCAGCGTTCTTCACAACGCGGGGGGGTCCGCTACGCAAGCGACTCACGCCATGGACGTGACAACCGACGCCAATACGACCGATCTCGTTCAACATCCAGGAGGTCCCTAGACTCTCGCAGTCAATCGAGAAGTCGATACGACAGATCTTCGAGATCTACCTCCCGAGGACGAGACAACCGTGGCGGCGGACGCGGCAGCCCACGCGGCCGTGATAGATCATATGGTAGTGACAAAGGACGTGGCAGACGTTCCCCGAGCCGTGGTTCGCCCCGTGGTTCTCCACACGCCAGAGCACGTTCTCCTGCCAACTATCGACGTTCACGCCGTTGCGACCGCAGTTACGTCATCC